CCCGGCCGACCGCGTCCCAGCGAGAGAGAAGGGCATAAAGGCCGATCCCCCCTACACGTTGGAAAGGCGGGCCGGACACGGCAACCGGCTGTCGCGGCTCGAGGGCGGCAAGACGAGCCACCCCCCCTACCTACCTCCATCACACCCCTTCCTCCCTTCGCCGGCAACGCTGCCCACGGCACCATCTCCAGGGCGCCCGCTGCCGCCCCACCCGACGCGCCGCCCGCCGCCGAATGGACCGGCCGCCACCGCCACCGTCGGCGGCCGCCTCCCGCCCACCCGCACCGCCGCCCCGGCCACTGCCACCCGCGCGGCCGCCTCGCCCAACGCCGCCGCCGGCCCACCCTCCCGCCCGTCGCCGCTGCCGCCGCGCCGCCGCTGCCGCCCTCCGGGCCGCCTCCGGCCCCGCCACCTGCCTCGCCGCCGCCCACGCGACTGGCCTCGCCGCCGCCACCGCCACCGCCCTCCCCACCGCCCTCCCCTCCGCTCTCACCGCCGCCGACGCGCCGCCACGCCGCCTCTGCCTCCGCCCTTGCCGAGCCGTCGCCACCGCCCTTCTCGCCGCCTCTGCCGCCCATGGGTGCCGCCTATTCCGTGGCCCTCGCCACCGCCACCGCCGTCGCCGCCCCCGCCGCCACCGCTACCGCCGCCTCCCGCCCCGCCACCCCCTCCGACACCGTCACCCCCCCTCCCTCACACCATCCCGGCCGGCCTCCTCCGTTCTAGCCCCAACTCCCACACACCACCACCGACCTCCCCGCGCCCCCACACGCCGGCCCCGCGCACCCACGCCACCACCATCGCCCACGTCGCCCTCCCGGCCCCCCACCCCGCGCCCCAGGCTCTTCATAGCTCCGCTCGGGGCGTCCTGGCGCCGCCTCCCCAACCGCTGCGGCCCACGCGGCCGCCGGGCGGCGCGACGGCGGCTACCGGCCGGCATAGCCCTTCCAGCGCCGGCCGGGGGCTGCGGCGGCGCGCGGCGCGCGGCGGGCAAGCTGCCTGCTGGCGGGCGGCGCTTCTAGTCGTGATTTTAGTGCCGCGTAGGTCGCCCTTCGGCCACTTCTCGGGCGTGCGGCCGCAGCGCGGCGAGAAGGCGGCGCGCTCGGCCCGCTGGCGGAGGTGAAGCCCCCCAGAGCGGGAGCTGGCGGGCCGGGGGCGTCGGTCGGGTGCGCGGCGGCACCCGTGCCACCGGGACGGGCCGTGGTGGCCCGTATGGCGGCCGTGAAGGGCCGTTTGGTGCGCCCCGGCGGCCTCCTGCACGGCGGCCGCCGGGGCCGGTTTGGACTGTGTTTGGGGGGGTGGAGGGGTCCGGTGGCCGGTGTGATGGTCGTTTATCACCCTCCTATCACCCACTTACCGCCCCCGGCCGTGGGGGCCTCTCCAGACGCCGCCATTTATGATTTCAAAGGGTCCTGCCGACGCTCATCACAGTGCGGCGGAGGGGCCGGAGTCGGCGCCGCGGAGGACGAGGATGGCCGTGGCGGACCGGGACGAGCTCTGGGAGGTTCAGTGTCAGTGAGTATATTGTAGAGGCCACCCATGTGCACAATATCTTGACTGAGAGCTAAGCCAGGGGAGGCGATGCCGGGGCCGTACAGCAGCTTGATGGTGTTGCGCCGGCGTGCGTCCCGCCGGCCGCCGGGGCCGGTTTGGACTGTGTTTGGGGGGGGGGAGGGGTCCGGTGGCCGATGTGATGGTCGTTTATGGCCCTCCTATCACCCACTTACCACCCCCGGCCGTGGGGGCCTCACCGGACGCCGCCATTCATGATTTCAAAGGGTCCTGCCGTCGCTCAGTCCGAATCACAGTGGGGCGGAGCCTACCCTGGGCCCATATATACTCGTGCAACAACCCACAGACCCAGAGCAGATCAAAAACGCTCGGCCGGGGGCACGAACTAGGGGGGGGGGGGACAAAATTTGACGCTCCTATAAGGTAAAAAAGGCGGGCGTCGGGCATGCCTCCAGAACGCAGCAAGAGCACCCCGCGATAGGCATGCGGACACGTGTTAGATCTGTACTCAGCATGGCACAGCAGAACGGCTCAGCGACCAAATGACCGCGCCCCTCCCTCGCGGCCTGAAGGGCTGCTCGACTCGCATCAGCTCGCACGCTGCGCTGAGCAGCCCGGGCGCCGTCGCTGGACCGTCTCCTGGCGGAAGTGGTGGCGCAACGCAGAGGGCACCCAAGGCGATCCCGCGAAGGCTGCCGCCTGGCAAGCTGGCAGCCAGCGCAGCCCAGCCGTCGGATGGGGCGGTGAGCACATTGATGTCGAAGCGATTGATGAGGTGCTGCGCGCCTGCCGAAAAGGGCGGAGGCGTGGGTGACAGGCGTCAGGCTGTGTCGGCACAGGACTTTTGAGCATCGCAGTCGTGGTGCACGGCGCTTGGAGGTGAGGGAGTGCTTGCGGCGATACACTGGGCGGGGATGCACGCCGGTGGCCCACGCCGCCGCCGAGTTGTCGGCGTTGAGAAGCGGCAAATTCCCGCCCGCCGGCACCGTTGCGCGCGGGTGCAGCACGGCGGTGCCCCCGAGCAGGAGGTCATCGAGGGCGAGGTGCAGCGAGCCGAGATGCAGGGAGCGCCAAGCTCCGGCGCCGCCGACTGCTGTTGGAGCGCGGTCGGCGTCCCTCCCGAAAGGACCGACAGCGGAGCTGAGCCCGAACGGCCGCGACCGTGGCAAAGCCAAAGCGAGCGCACGCCCGTAGGCGTCGGCGCGCCGGCGCAGCGCGTCGGCCGACGCCACCTCTGTCGCCGCGTCGTCGCACACTGTGCGGGCCGCAGACTCGCGTGTCGCCGCAGCGACGATCGCGACTGGCCCGGGCTGCCCTGCGCCCCCGCTCGCAGGCGCCGTGGGCAAGCCATGCCGAGGCATTGCCCGATAGCTGCCGCCCTCCTCGCTGCCAAAGGCGGGAAGCCGGTCGATCGGCAGGAGCGGCGGCGTGGTCCCGCTGGTCTCCCCCCTCGTCCAACGGCGAAAGAGGAGCGCGAGACGCCAGCGAATGTACGCACCGCGCGACGCAACCACGAGATCCGGCCGCAGCCGCGCCGTGCAATGCGCCGCGCCCCCCGCGCAGCCCACGCTTGGACCAATCACCAGCGTCGCCCCGCCGACGCGCAAAGCCGCCAGCAAAGAGACCGTGTCAGCAGCCGTCGGCGGCGGCGTCAGCAGCAGCACGCGCGACCCCTCCTCACTGCCAGCCGCAGCGAGCGTCGCGGTCAAGCGCGAGACGTGGGCGTGCAGCGCCCCGTAGCGGATGGTCTCAAACTGCGCCGCGAACAGTATGCTCGCCTCACTCCGCTGCAAGGCGACGGCCGCTGCCGCCGCTGTCGCCCCCGCCACCGTCGCCGCCGCCAACATCAGGGCCCAAGAGGCGGCGAAAACCACCATGACGGCAGCGGTGGCGGCCAGGCCGGCGGACGCAGCCGCGGCGGCAGCGACTCCGCGGCGGGGAAAGTCGTCGCGCGTGTGCACGAGCGCCGCACGCTGCGGCGCCTCGGCCGCCCACCGGGCGAGCGCCTCCGCCAGCGACGCGGAAACCACAGTCGGGGTGGCGGGCGATGCGACGGCGGAGGTGCTGGGCGGGGTGGTGACATCGCCCGTCTCAACGCGCAGCGACGGTCCGCCAGTCATGCTGCGAGCGGCTTCCTCCTGCTCTCCCCCAGACGCGGCGGCGGCGGCGGCGGCGGCGGCGGCGGCGGCGTCAGGGGCGGCAGCGGCGGGGGCGGCGGCGGCATCGCCGGCCGCGGTGGCGGCGGCATCGAGCAGAGGGGCGAGGGGCGAACGGAGGCGGTGCTGCCGCCCTTCGCTTCCGGCGCCGAGGGCAGGCTGCGGGAGCCCAAAGTGCAGCGGCGCGGCCGCCGACGTCGGGCTGTCGAGGGGGGAAGCGCAGAGGGAGCCTGCGAGGGCGGGCGAGATGCGGAGGGGGTCAGAGGAGAGGCCGTGCCGAGCCGTGGTGTGGCGGAGGCAGTGGAGCGTCGCTACGACCCCACGAGCCGCGCGCCGTCCGGAGTGCCACCCGCGGTCGAGGCGGGCGAGGATGAGGCTGTCCAGCCGAGTGGGGACTCGTGCCTGCTCACGCACGTCGGGCCCGTGAAGGGACGCACCTCACACCTCGGCCACAGCTGGGCGGCGACGCGAGCCCGCGAGGCGTGCCGGGCGTCACGCCGCGGGAGAGAGCCCTCGCCGCGGCGCGGCGCCGGTGCCGCTGCGGCGCCGTGTCGGCTGCGGCGCGAGTCGCAAAGGCGAGGAGCGCGAGAGCTGCGGCGAGGGCGGCGAGGTGGCGAGCGCCTCGGCTCGGCCATGCCTCGGCGGCGGCGGCGGCGGCGAGGAAAGCGGCGGCGAAGGCGGCCTGGGAGAAGACGGCGCGGCGCGCGCCCGGCCGGCGGATGGTGGCCGGGGGTATGGCTGCGTGCGCCGCAATCACCTGCAGGGCCGAGGAGAGGGCGGCTGGAGGAGGTGCAGACGGGAGGCGCTGTCGCGCGCCAAATAGGCGGCCACCTCCGAGAGCGTCTCCTGCGTCGAGGTGACCGGGGCGTACCCGAGCGCCTGCCGCGCGGCCGACACGTCGAGGACGGTGGTGCGGCCGATCGCGGCGACTGCGTACCGGCTCAGCTTTGGCTCGAAGTCGCGGCGAAGCAGGCGGAGCCGCTGCAGCGCGAGCACGGCGGGCTCGGAGAGGCGCGCGGCCGCGTCGGCGGAGGGGAAGGGGAGCCTCAGCCACGGGCGCGGCAGGCCGAGCTCGTCGGTCAGGCGGCGCATCAGACCCCACAACAAGATGGGCTCGTCGTTAGTGATGTTGAAGGTTCGGCCGGCGACGGCAGCGGCGGGCGCACGCAGCGCGAGTGCGCAGGCGTGCGAGACGTTTCGGACCTGCGGCGGGGTGGGGAGTGGGTGTGTGTGTGGGCCGGGCGGGGTGTGTGTGGCGAGGGGGAGGGGGGAGATCTCTCGCCGAGGTGAGGTCGACCACCGCGTGCGGGTCGATGACCTGGGACGGCAGGGCCGCACGGGTGTGAAGGCGGGAGTGTGCGTCGCACTCCTGTCCGTCTTGCGGGAATGCAGTGGGTGCGGCTTGAGTGCGGCCGAGTGCGGCCGAGTGCGCGTCTCGAGGCCTCGCCAGGAGCGGAGACGTGACACCGAGAGATGTGACCGAGAGATGCGACCAGGAGACGTGACCGGCATCTAGGCGAAGTGACGGGGAGCCGGCCGGCCCGCAGCGAGGCGAGGAGGCGCGGGAGGAGGTGCTGGTCCCCCACGCCGAAGATGGCGCGCGGACGCAGTACCACCGTCACAAGGCCGGCCGAGACCGCCGCCTCGCCTCCCGCCCCGCCTCCGCCCGCCCCGCCTCCGCCCGCCCCGCCTCCGCCCGCCGCCGCCTGCACCAGCCGCTCGGCTTGCAGCTTCGAGGCGGCGTAGCAACTCGGCTGGGCGAGGTGGCGCGGCGGCACGGCCCATTCGGGTATGCCGCCCACGCCGCACTCCTCGGCGAGCGAGCCGCGGCCGTTGGAGACGTACAGCGACGGCGTCGACACGTGCACGAACCGAGCCACGCCCGCCGCGGCGCAGCCGGCGAGCAGGTTTGCAGTCGCGTCCACGTTGGCAGCCGTGTGCGCCGCGCCGCCCCACGCCTCGGCCACCACAGGCGGCCAGGTGCCGCAGAGCGCGGCGCAGTGCACCACCGCGTGCTGGCCCGCGCACAGCCCCGCCGCCTCCTCGGGCAGCGACAGCTCCGCGCGCACAAAGCGAGCCGCGCCGACGGCGAGCAACGCGGGCGCCTTGGACTCGTCGCGGCCGGTGGCGGTCACCTCGGCGCCCGTCGCAGCCAGCAGCTGCGCCACAGCGCCGCCGAGGAAGCCGGTGGCGCCCGTCACCAGCACCCGCAGCGACGGGCCGCGCGGAAGCGCCCGGCTCAGCAGCGGAGACGGCGGCCGGTGCATCCCTCGAGCAATGGCCAGGAGCTGGCTTCGGCCCTCAGGCTCGAGCAGCGAGAGGAGCGCCACCGCCGCCTCGAGCGTGATGAACGGAGGAGGCGCCGATCCGAGACCGCTGCGCAGCGGTGCGATCAGCAGCGCCTCGGCGAGCGCTGGTGAAGAGGAGTGCACCGCCGGCAAGCCGTGGTCCGCGTCCGTGGCGGCGGCCGCGGCGCCGAGGAGCGCGGGAGGAATCGCGGAGAGCAGCGCCAGCAGCTCCTGCTGCCTTTGTTGTGGCGGCATGGGCTCGGGGTGCAGGATTGGCGGTGCAGAGGAGACAAAAGAATTTTAGCACGTTCGCGCACAACACTGGGCACGGGACTGGCGCGCACTGGCACTAACACAGGTACACCACTGGACAAAAGAATTTTACGGCCCACTCCCTCGCACGACACTAGGCACAGGACTGGCGCGCACTGGCACTAACACAGGTACACCACGGACAAAAGAAAAGAATCTCCCGGCATACACGTATGCAGCGGCGGCGCTGATCGATCAAGTGGACCGGGCCCTCAGCGCGGTGGAAGGGGAACCAGCGAGGGTGGCCGTCGAGAGCAGCCTAGCGCACACTTTGATCCTGTACCGTGTTTGTTATGACCCCCCCCGATGAACACACCAGTGAGGGAGGGCGAGACGATCGAGGGGTCCCGTACCAAAGGCGTGAAAGAAACGCGTTGGGTGGCCAATCCCCATTCTCCGCGAAGACGATGAGGCAGACGAGAGCGACGCGACAGAGGAGGAAGCGACAGGAGGGAGAACGACGAGAGTGGGACGACCGTGGGACGACCGCGAGGTGGCATGAAGGTTGCAGCGCGAGAATCCTCCCCTTTCTCCCCTTCAGCTACCGGAGGCGTCAAAATAAAACAATTCAACCGCCGTGATGTGGCGTGTTGTCATCGTGCCCACACCTGGAGAGCACCCTGACCAGCCCAGTTGGTCCGCCTTGCCCACCTCGTCATGATGCGCTCCCTGCTCGTCACCGCCATCGCTTTCTCGGCGGACGCCCTCGACTTCGTCGCGGTGTCGCCTGGGACTGGCGCCGCATATGAGGGCTCGCTCAGCGGAAACGGCAACAGCGTCGGCTACACCGCAGCCAACGGGGACCAGTGGAACGCCTTCATCTATTACTCGAGCTACGATCAGTCCACAATCATGATCACGCCGGCGCAGGTGATTTTCACCCCACGCATCAGGCCTCAACGGCGCGTACTGGTGCAAGAACGCGTTTCTCTTGCCCCTAGGCGATGCCCACGGAGATGCCCAAGCAGGTCCGCCTCAACTACGCCGGAAACCGGGCGTGCTACGACCTGAAAGAGGACGCCACTCAGAACGTGATGTTTGCAATCGCCCAGTACTCGTCGAAGCAGTTGACCAAAATCACGGATGAGAGCGGCGATCGCAAAGCTGGATACTGCGCCACGGCGACTGTGGAGAGACTGAGTGCACGCTGGCCTTCATCTCGGACATGGACCTCGCGGGCGACAGCCTGGAGAAGGGAAACGTGCAGGTTTACACGACCAAGCTCATCCGTGAGAACGCGTTGGGCGTGCCGACCTTCGCCCCGTTCACCATGATTACCAAGGCCTCATTCGATGCCGACTCTTCCTCCAAGGCGTTCGCCACACACACACACACACACACACACACACACACACACACACACACACACACACACACACACACACACACACACACACACACGATGACTCTCCTCCTGACAACACCCGGTCATCCGCCGCGCGCATGCCGCAGGTCGAGGCGAGCGGCGGCGTGAACCTCGATCACACGGGCGAGCACGTGGTCTTCCGCGCCAAGGGCTCCGCCTTCTCCCCGATGGCCTCGTCCAAGGGGCCCGACGCGTTCCTGCACACCGTCGCCGACGGCAGCACCTTCATGATCAACCCGACTCTCGTCGACTGCGACCTCGACACCGTCCAGAGCTTCCTCATCGCACAGAACCCCGACGCCGCCAACTTGAGCCCCACCACCGCGTCCTGCCCGTCCGTTGCCGGGCAGGGCGGCGTCCCGTCTGCCGCTACCATTGGAGTGGGCGCGACCGACAACCCGGTCATCTCGGGCGACGCTCGCTTCATGTCCTACACGGCCAACTACGACATCGCGGACACCCGCGGCGCACTCGAGGCGCCGCAGGCAATCACGTCGCCCAACCTGTTCTTGTTCGACGCCAAGCTTGGCTTCACGTGGCAGCTGACCAAGGAGGGCGACCTGCCGCTCAAGGGTGCTGACATTGAGGCGCGCGGCCGCTCCAGTGCACCAGCGATGGGCGCAGGGCGAGGGGCATGTCAGCTTCTTCACCGTCGCCCCCTGCCTCTGCTAGGCGCGCTGCTGCCCGGGCGCCTCTTCCTCGAAGCAGCGCGGCACTTGCGAGGGCACCGACAACGAGCTCAAGTACTTGTGCTGCTGGCAGAAGCCATGCGGCCTCGCGGCGCTGAACCCCGACATCTCTGCCGACGGCGACTCGATCGCCCTCACTTCGGATTACGACCTCGCCGGCGACCAGCTGGCCATCCCGAAGCTGCTCGACACGTTCACCTACCACATCCCCACGTCGACCTTCACCCGCGTCACCTCCAACACCGACGACACGTACGACACCGTCTACCCCTCCATCAGCGGCGACGGCTCGCGGGTCGTCTTCAAGTCGGACTGGGACCAGGTCCAGAACGCGGACATCTCCGACGAGCCGCAGGTCTCTCTGCTGCCACACGAGTAGCTGTACAGCCAGTGTATGCCCCGCTCCTCGACGCCCCTGCTCGACACCCGCGGCTACAAAGCTCACCACCGCGCGCCACCGCTGCCTCGCGCCCTCAGCTCTTTGAGGCTGCGCTGAAGCTGGGCTGCTCCAAGAACGCCCTCGCGACCAACTACGTGCCCTCGGACACGGTGGACGTCGAGACGTGCTGCGCCTTCCAAGACGAGGGTCCCGACGCCGATGCGCCCTCCTCCACCACCAAGCTCACCTTTGCCGCCCCGATAAAGATGTCGGAGAAGCGGGTGGCCGTCGCCGGCGGCGCATCCCGTTGGTGCGGAGTTTTCGCGGACGATTTGGCCAGCGACATCGCGTGCGCGCTCGCCCTGCCAAGTTCCGTCGTCACGATCCAGGGGATGGAGGCGTGCGTGGCTTCGGGCGAGATCCGCTCGTTCGTCGCGGTGATCCATACGCAGAAGACCCCCATCCCTGGCACGCTCGGCCCCGACGCTGCCGCCCTGAAGCTGGCCGAGGAGTGGGGCATGCAAGGTGGGGGGGCGACCGGCCTCGGCGCGCTCTGGAAAGGCTACGTCTCCAAGCTGCTCGCTCCGACCGTCCCGCCCGAGACGTGCCCGAAGTGCCCCACCGGCGGCTCCCGCCGCCGCCGCATCCTCTTCTCGTCGACGCCCTCGCGCCCGGACTTCTGCCCTCCGTGCTAGGCCTTACCCGGCACGGGCGGAGCAGCGGGCTGCGTGGCAGCGAGGGCCCTCCACATGGCTCTCCTCAAGACCCCAGTCCCGGCCGCCCGCCTCCCGCCTCCCGTCGTTTGAGCGGCCTAGCGGTGCATAGTACACCGTCCGCTGACCGCGGCAGAATAGAGAGCGTCGCGATGACATGTGCGGACCATGGTCCATGCGAAAAGTCCACCTCGACAAACGTGCTCGGTGCTGTGAGATACACGCGTGCGGAGGCAAAGCCAAAGGTGGCACTTGCCTTTTATCGATGTCTTTCGTGTGCATGTACGGATGTATGTATCTTAAGTATCTAAAATGTACAATCATGTCATGATGTGTATTGCACCACTTCCGTATGCCTGCAGGGTATCTTTAACCGAGCCCTCCGAGCCCTCCACACCCCTCCACACCCCTCCGACCCCTCCGACCCCTCCGACCCCTCCGACCCCTCCGACCCCTCCACACCCCTCCGCGAGCCCTCCGAGCCCCCCGAGCCCTCCGACCCCTCCGACCCCTCCGACCCCTCCGAGCCCTCCGAGCCCCCCGAGCCCGGCTCGGTGGCTCGCCCCTCTGAGCCCTCCGGGCACTCCATCCCTCATGAGCCCTCCCGAGTCCAACCCGAGCCCTCCCGAGCCCTCCAGCGCCACCCTCGTGCCTCTCTGCCCTCCGAGCCCTCCGAGCCCTCCGAGCTCTCCACCCCTCCCGAGCCCCACCCCTCGCGCTAGGGACCCTCTTGCCGGACGACACCCTCCGAGCCCTCCAAGCCCCCCGAGCCCTCCAGACCCATCCATCCGCACAGCCCCTCCGGCCCCTCTAGCCCCCTCCGACCCCTCCAGCCCTCTCTAGCCCACTGGACCCCTCCCACGCCTCGCTTTTGGCCAGCCCTCCAAGCCCCCACCCCTCCTGGGCCCTGCCGCCTGACACCTCTATCGGTGGAGGGCTTTAGGTCACGGTCCACACTCCCGCCCTCCCGACCCCTCCACACCCCTACAGCGGCACCCCTAGGCCCCTCCCGCCGTTTTAGGGCCTCCCCACCCGCACTCTAGGCCACGTGAAGAGATTTTCCGTGCAACAGCTGCAACGATAATGAATCGCCAAGAACTGGCTGTTTACATCTGGGGCCAGTTGTTGGTTGGCTTTCGGGGTGATCCACGCACTCGGTTGGCTTGCGCTGGCGCTGTCTCTCTGGGCTTTCGTCATCGCACATCGGCTCCCCATCCTCTTTGTGCAGCTGGCTCGCCCCCTCTCCCTGCTTCATCGAATCGCTAAGTTCTTTCTCAATGAGTGTGACAAGTGCTCTTGGTCAGTCATTATGACCTGGTGTGTATGACTGAGCGGACCGGCGCGGGAAAGCTTGACCCCTTGTTGCATGTTTATTGTCCCTTTTTTGGTGATGGGCTGTCTGCCGATTGATTGCTGATGGTGTCAGCTAAGCCTCGCGCGCCTTCGCTGGCTCATTTTTCTTTCTCTCAAAACCGCTGCGTCCGCAATAACGCGTCGGACACCCCCACACGAGAGGACACCAGACACGGGACACGCGACACGTTCGCCGCGAGACGGCCGCCACGCCGCCGCGCGCGAGAGTGCACCTCTCTCACGAGAGCTCTTTCGAGCCGTGGGGCTCCTCGCGTGTCGTCTAGACGTGGAGACGCGAGAGTCGCCCCCCCTTGTGCCACAACCTCGTGTGTTTTACCTTCCCATTTCGAGTCGACTCAGAGTTCACTCTCCGCCGTGCGCCTCGATCTTCTTGGGCAGCAGCTGGCTCTGCTGGTCGCCGTGGCCCAAGTGGCCAAAGCCTCCAAAGCCCCAGCTCCAGACGGCGCCGTCGGCGGTGATGGCGAGGCTGTGGGCCGCTCGCACCGCCACGGAGACGACGCGCCGGCCAGCAAAGGCCTCGATCTTCTTCGGCAGCAGCTGATTCTGCTCGTCGCCGTGGCCCAGCCGGCCTTCGCCTCCAAAGCCCCAGCTCCCGACAGCGCCGTCGGCGGTGATGGCGAGGCTGTGCATGCCTCCAGCCGACACAGCGACAACGCGCTGGCCAGCAAAGGCCTCGACCTTCTTCGGCAGCAGCTGATTCTGCTGGTCGCCGTGGCCCAGCTTGCCATTGGATCCAAAGCCCCAGCTCCAGACGGCGCCGTCGGCGGTGATGGCGAGGCTGTGCATGCCTCCAGCCGACACAGCGACACCGCGCTGGCCAGCAAAGGCCTCGACCTTCTTCGGCAGCAGCTGGTGCTGCTGGTCGCCGTGGCCCAAGTGGCCAAAGCCTCCAAAGCCCCAGCTCCAGACGGCGCCGTCGGCGGTGATGGCGAGGCTGTGGTACTCTCCAGCCGACATAGCAACGATGCGCTGGCCAGCAAAGGCCTCGACCTTCTTCGGCAGCAGCTGGCCCTGCTCGTCGCCGTGGCCCAGCTGGCCAGAGTATCCCCAGCCCCAGCTCCAGACGGAGCCGTCGGCGGTGACGGCGAGGCTGTGCGCGGCTCCAGCCGACGCAGCGACGACACGCTGGCCAGCAAAGGCCTCGACCTTCTTCGGCTGCCACTGGGCCTGCCGGTCGCCGTGGCCCAACTGGCCCCTGCCTCCACCGCCCCAGCTCCAGGCGGCGTCAGCGGTCAGGGCGAGGCTATGCCTGCCTCCAGCCAACACGCTCACGGCGCGCTCGCCGCCCAGAAGGGGGAGGCGGGTCGGCGCGCTGAGCCGCGTCACGCCCTCGCCGTGACCGAGGAGGGCTGGCTCGCCCTCCGCTGCCGTGCCGCACGACGAGAGCCGCCCCTCGCCATCGATGAAGACGCTGTGCCGAGCGCCTGCCGCCGCCCTCGCCGGCGGGTTCGACTCGCGCAGCAACGCCGAATAGCACAGCCACCGCACGGCGCAGCTCTCGCCCTCTGGCTGCGCCGGCAGCTCGAAGCCGCGCTCTTGCGCCCACAAGCGGATGCCCTGCTCCGCGAGCGAGTGAAAGAGCAGCGAGACGGCCGCGACGTGAGCGATGTCGATGGGGCTGTCGCAGCGAGAGAGGGCGCGCTCGAGGAGCTCCCTTGGGAGATCGAGCAAGCGGACGGGCGGCGGCGTGTCTGGCGAGGGAGCGGCGGTGGAGGCGGAGGCGAGGCGGCGCGAGCGGCGGCGCGGAGGGGTGGACATCGCGAAGAAAAAGAAAGAATGCTCGACGTACCCCCCTAGTTAGGGGTCAGGGCTCTCTAGCCCGTAGCCCGATCCCGATCATCCGGCCCGCTGGGTGCGCTTCTTAGCTCCCCGGCCCTGGATGTGCGGTTAATGACTGCACTCCAAGTGCTCCAAGAATGCGAGAGCGGGTCAACAGGATCAGGCAGAGAGGACGCGACGGCGGCGGGGCCGCAACCGAAAAAGGCTAGGAGGGGAGGTCGGGCCTCGCGCCCGCCGTACAACCATCGAGAAGCAAACAGGAGAACGGACCGAGCGGGGGGGGTGGACCCAACTGGCGCCGAGCAGTCGTGCGCGAGTACTCTGCCCTGCTCGAGTGTCTGTGGGTGGGCGAGGCGTATCGTAACGACGTGCGTACGTACTTTTAGCTTACTGGGAGAAAAGGGAGAGAGGGGGGGTTGTGTGTTTCTTAGTACGACGTACGCTCTGAAAAAAGCTCGACAGCATGTTCTCTCAATGTTTTACCGTACGCCCATCGCGTGGGCCGTGGCACCTCCACCTGCGAGTGCGACCTGGCACACCCACACGACGACACGTGGGGCTGCGCCTCGCCTCGGAGGCCGGAGCGCGTGCCGCGCACTGACGTGGGACACACGGCAGATGGGTGCACGCGTGGGGACGCACACCCAATGTGGAGCTGATGGCGTCGCTCTCCTCTGCCTCGCCTCCGACCTCAACTCGCGCCCACCTCGATGGTCTTCGCCCGACTGCCACTCTGAGCGCACCCTCGGAAGCTTGCTGCCGCGCCCGCCTCGCCCGGCCCGCCCTCCTCCCCCTCCTCGCTCCCTTCCGTGTCTCCTCCGCCGCACGAACGAGGGAGCGCCGCGCAGCTTCGGTACTCCCGGCTGAAGCCGAGTCAACCGCACGGGCAACAGCTTGCCACTATTGGCGCGTGGCGGGAGGGTCTGTGAGCGTAGCGGCAGCTTGGGTGCCGTCCGCTCCTCGATGGACAGCAGGTCGGGTGCGCGCGCCTCGCCCCGCGAGAGCGGCCCGGCTGAGGAGACGGCGCGGCGGCGGCGCGTGGCGGTGGTGGAGGGCGTGGTGGAGGGCGTGGCGGACGGCGCCGTAACAGAGGGACGCCCCCTCTCTGCCTCCCCCTCCTCCGCAGGCGCGATGCACGAGATCCGCTCCCCCGCCCCGCAAGCAGACACCACGTACTCGCTCGGGCTGCTGCCCTGCTCCGACGCGGAGCTCCCCGATCCGCGGCAGCAACGGCGCCCCTCGGGCAGCCGCCGCCGTTCGGCCAAGCTGCTGCGCGCCTCCGACAGAGGAGCGCGCCGCAATGTGCGACGTGTCGACGTGCTAGCCTGCCGAGCGCCAACTGTCGCCACCCGTTGCATTGTGGCGCTGTCCTCGCCATCGCCTCCCTCAAGCGAAGAGACTGGTGAGGCCGTGTCGGCAGCGGGGGGAAGTGCAGGCCCGCACGCCAAATCCCCACTCGAGGCGCCTGTCGGAGCCACATCCGGGGGAAGAGCGGCGAAGTCGTGCCGATCGCGCGAGCAGTCGATTGCGGACGGTGCCGTAGAGGAGGGAACGGCCGCCGCTGCACACAGGAGTGGCGCGACGGCTGGAGGGCGTCCGTCGGGCCGCATCCGCGGCCTGCCAGCAGGTGCGGGGCGCGTGCAGTAGCGAGGCGACGCGCACACTGGAGATGAGACGGGAAAGGGGGCACTCGGCCGAACCGCTCGCTCGTGGCGGCGGTCGGCAAAGCCCACCGTCCGGCGCGAAGGCGATGGATCGGGCGTGCCCGGGGTAGAGCCGCCCAAGGAAGAGGCAAACGACGGCATCGTCTTGCGATACCGCTCGGGCGGGCATCGCTCGTTCCCGGGACTGCACACCGGCTGGCGGCCGGGTCGCTCGAGGTCATCCGGCGGAGCAGAGAGCGGCGGCGGCTCCAAAGCGAAACGCTGCGGCGCGGCGTCGTCGAGATGGTCGCTGGGCGGCTCGACTCGCCGCAGAAAGAGCAGATAGTTGTCGGATGAAACAATGCTGCGCTCGTCGCCCCGCGGCACCGGCCGCACCGTCGAGTCGTTATACTCGTACCTGAGCCGTGTCATCAACGCGTCATGGACGTGTCAGGAGAGCCTCACCACGGAAGCTCGCGTTCGCACCAGCGGCCGTCGGAAGCGCAACGCGCCATTGCGGTGTAGTGCCCCCCCGAGAGCGAGCCAACGTGGTTACAGACTGCGTACAGCTCATACGGCTGTGCCGGCCCGCCACGCTCGCCGCCTCCCGCCGCATGGACGGCGGCCTGCCCCGCCTCCGCTTGCCCCAAATCCCCCGCCGTCGCCGCCTGGCCCACTAGGTGCGAGAGGTCGATCCGGCTGATGTCGGGCACCTGAAAGAGAGCGGACGATGACGGATTTGTCCAGGGAGGGGGGCCTTTCCTGCTTGGCGGCACGCCTCCACTCGCTCGCTCCGCTTGCGCAGCCGATCGTTGCCGTGGCCACCTAACAACAGCCCTGCCGCTCACGAGCGCGGGGCTGCGCGGTTGCGCGAGGGCCGCTGGCGACGGCGCCAAAGCGCTTGAGGTGGACGACGAGGTGCGAGGGGAGCTTCCAGATAGAGAGCGTCTTTGTGGCGGGCCGGAAGTCGTTGCAGCAGAAGCAGCGCCACAAGTTGTCGCCGTCGAGCCGCTCCTCACGCATAAACTCGCGCAAGCAACGCTCGAGCGTCAGCACCTCGCCGGCGCCGACCCGCGGCATCGGCAGTGAGAGGTACATGAACGGGTCAAACTTGGTGCGCGTCGCGCCACAGACGGAGCAGCGCAGCACAGATTTGAGTTGGCCCTGGCGCACGCGGGGGCAAGCTCAAAGGGCTAGGGCCGGATGCGTTGCGGAGCGTGAGCGGGTGCGGCGGCGCACGATGCATTGGGCAGCTGCGGGCTGTGGGCGGCGCGCCTGAAATGTGTCGATGATGACGGAGCGGTCTCGCAGCAGATGCTTTCCCCACGCCTCGGCGGATGCCTCCTCCATGTCGGCAACAGTGGCGCACTCGCCGCCCTTGCGGTCGAGCTCAACGTCTTCGCGGCGCGCTGTCGGTTGAGATCCTCGTGCAGGCCTGTGAGACGTGTCGCGAACACGTTAGAAAGACGTGCCCTGTGCAACGGATGCCAGTGGGGGATCTTGCGGGGCCGTCGAGTAGGAAGACTGCGAGCTCCTGCGGCGGGTGGGGTAGGTGGCAGTGGGCGGCAGGCGGGCACGGGCGCGTGCGTTATGGGCGGTGGGTGTGGTGGTCGGTGGCTGGGTGGCGCCGGATTACGATTTACGTTGCGGTGGCGAGGGTGTGGGGGCAGGTAGAGGCCGCCGGGGGTTACGGGGCAGGTAGGGCCGGCCTGCGCCCCCCTCAAACTGAGGCGCGAAGCGCGAGAGCGTCGCCTTGAAGGCTGCCGGCTTGTGCGTGCTCCAGACTTGTGTGTGGAGCTTTGAGCAGAACACACACACACTCCATGCGGCTTTTGGGGGAGGGAGGTGCTTGTCAGCGCCTGCGGCTCAAATCGGCTATTGCTCGCTCCACCGCTGCCCGCTAAAAGCCCTTTCTGGACCGCTTGCAGCAGCTCGCCGTGCACGGGGGCCCGGGCTGAGGACCAAAGGTAGCGGAGCCGAGGCAGCCGACCGAGGCAGCGCCGAGGTGGGATGCCGGCAGAGGCACGATGGATCCTTGCGGTCGTTGCTGCGGTCGCCGCACAGCACCTGCTGTCCTCGCACAGCGCCACCGGCATCGCGAGCCTCTTCTCCGACAGCGCCACCGGCATCGCGAGCCTCTTCTCCGACAGCGCCACCGGCATCGCGAGCCTCTTCTCCGCCGCCCTCCTCGCCGAAGCGCCGCCGGCCTCGCCACCTGTGCGGATGGAGGCTGCGAGAAACGAGCACGAAATCGCGGCGCAGCAGCAGCACTCCGCGTCGCAGTTCCAGCGGCTCGCTGACGACAAGCCGCTCGGCGGCGTCGAAACGGAGGCGCCCCAGCCAGACGAGGTTCGCGCGGCGGCAGAGGCCGTCGAAGCAGAGGCGGCCAGACGGAGGGCGCTCAAGTGTGGCCAAAAGGTCCCGCCAGAGAGTCTGACGGTGACGCGAGGCGTCTCCATCTTTGTCAAGAGCAAGTACCATGGCGAGGCTGGCAGCGGCCATGCGTGGAGCTACCGCGTCGAGTTCACAAACGAGGGCGTCGACACCGTGCAGATGCTCTCGCGGCACTGGATCTTCACCGACGCGACTGGCTTTGTCAGCGAGATGAAGGGCCCGGGGGCGCGTGGCGTCACGCCCGTGCTCCGACCGGGCGACAGCTGGTCCTACGACTCTGGCACGCAACTCGAAACGAGCCACGGTGCGATGCACGGCTCGTTTCAGTTTGAGACGCTGCGCGCGGTGAGCGGCGTGGTGCCGTCCATGTTCAACGCCCGCGTGGGTCGCCTTGCCCTCTCGCCCACGGACAGCCTGGAGCAGGCGCCGTGCGGCGAGCCGGCGAGAGGCGACATGCTCCCGGACACGTCTGTACGCGCCACGCGGCGAGTCATCGTGGGCGCGACGGTGGAGCGGCAGCCTGAGAGGTCGGATGAGGTCGCCGGCGTGTATCGGTGGGCGTATGACGTTCAAATCAACAACGCAAGGGACCAGGCCATCACCGTGGTGGCGCATCGATGGATGACGGTCGACGCCGACGGCGCCGTCAAGGAAATGAACGGCCTGGGCGTCGGCGGCAACTACAGATCCAAAGAGATTGAGCTGCCGGCGGGAGATGCCTTCCGCACTAAGGGCATACTGGCCACGGCGACGCCAGTTGGCAATGCATGGGGCGCCTACACTGTGAGGGCGCAGACCGCAGGAGGCGATGAGGTCGAGATCGACGCCGAAGTTGGCGTCGTCGGTCTCTCGACCGACGGCACGCCCGTGGCGGACTTGCGGCCGGAAGCCGGGTAACGGTGTGCACACACTGTGAGTGTCAAGAGCTCGGCAGTCATTTTGAGTGTGTGTGTCCTGTGTGCTGTTCAGAAAACACACACGGCAGATCGAGCTGTGTTTCTTTTTCGCGCACGTCGTAAAATTTTCTTACACATATTTACCTCTCTTTTTTCATTTCTCTCACACCTTCTCCGCTCTTCTGCCTTCTCTCAGAGGAGTATCGAAAAAAAAAATATTCTTAGCTTCAAGCCCCCCTCCGAGACTAGGGACAGAACCCAGAGATACATACGTCAAAGGGACTGCGCCTCGCCCCCACTTGCCCTGACTACACAGGATAGCGTGCCCCGATAACGGCGACACATAGTGGGGGACACTGCGCAAGGAGGGGGTGCGAAGGCTCATTGGGGTACTAGGTGGGACCATGAGGGGGGGTGGGCGGGGTCCTGTGGGGGTGAAATGTTGCGCGGCGAATTCGAACCTACCCCCTCGCCGCGCCGATCCTCACGCGGAGGGTAAAACCCTGTGGGACAAAACCCCCCCGCGGTCGGCAGTCTTCAGAGTGGACCCCCCCCTCCCCAGCCTCCCCTGTGCATCTCGCACCCCCCCCCGCTCCCCATCGGTGACTCGCGAAGGACACGGACACTCGGGGTGAGGGGGGGTCCCCCCGGAGGGGGCTCTGGGGCATTGTTGGGTTGATCGCTCGTGCCGATCTCGGGTCGATCTCGGGTCGATCTCGGGTCGATCTCGAGTCGATCTCGGGTCGATCTCGGGTCGATCTCGGGTCGATCTCGGGTCGATCTCGGGTCTCGGGTCGGTCTTGGGTCGGTCTCGGAGTGGTCTAGAAAAGAAAAAAATGTGGGGCGAGATGAGGCGAGATGAGGCGAGGTGAGGCGAGGTGAGGGGCGATGAGGCGAGATGAGGCGAGATGAGGCGAGGTGAGGCGAGATGAGGCGAGATGAGGCGAGGTGAGGCGAGATGAGGCGAGATGAGGCGAGTGGCGAGATGAGGCGAGATGAGGCGAGATGAGGCGAGATGAGGCGAGATGAGGCGAGGTGAGGCGAGATGAGGCGAGATGAGGCGAGGTGTACCTCGGCGAGATGAGGCGAGGTGAGGCGAGATGAGGCGAGCGGGTGAGGCGAGATGAGGCGAGGTGTGAGGCGAGATGAGGCGAGGTGAGGCGAGATGAAGCGAGGTGAGGCGAGATGAAGCGAGGTGAGGCGAGATGAGGCGAGATGAGGCGAGACTAGGAGGCGAGATGAAGCGGGAATCTTGTGGATCCCCCTGTCTGCACAGAACTCGATGCACAAGCAGCCATACAAGTGAGCTTTGGG